AAGACCCACGTGCCAAAGCTAAACAGGGTGCTGCCTGCTAAAACAAAAGATTTAAATAGGACCTACAGTCTCCCAACCTAACAGACAAAATGTCTCCAATACTATTGACAACCACCCATCATACTAAGAACCAAGAAAATCACAATTCATATGAGAAAGAGCAATCAACAGATGCCAACACTGAGGTGAATCCTGATATGAATTTTAAAGCAACTGTCTTAAAAGTGCACTGTCAATTAGAAATTCGGTAGAAACAAATTAAAATACAGAAAATCCCTGGCCAGGCACGGTGGCTCACACCTGTAATCCCAGCACTTTGGGAGGCCGAGGTGGGCAGATCACTTGAGGTTGGGAGTTCGAGACCAGCCTGACCAACATGGAGGAACCCCGTCTCTACTAAAAATACAAAATTAGCCAGGCATGATGGCACATGCCTGTAATCTCAGCTACTCGGGAGGCTTAGGCAGGAGAATCGCTTGAACCCGGGAGGCGGAGGTTGCAGTGAGCCGAGATCACGCCATTGTACTCCAGCCTGGGCAACAAGAATGAAACTCTGTCTCTAAATAAATAAATAAAAAGAAAATCCCCAAAAATGGAAGTTAGGTGACAGAGGATAGAATCAATGAAGTAAGGACATAACAGAACTCAGCCAGGTGAAAAAGAAAAAGAACAGAAGCTCCTGACCCAAGGGACAATAACAAAAGATCTAACATTCATATCAGAGTCCCAGAAATAGAGCAGAAAGTAGGACAGAAAGTATTTGAAGCTGGGTGTGGTGGCTCATGCCTGTAATCCCAGCACTTCGGGAGGCCTAGTCAGGCTGATCACCTGAGGTCAGGAGTTCAAGACCAGCCTGGCCAACATGGCAAAATCCCCTCTCTACTAAAAATACAAAGATGAGCTAGATGTGGTCGTGCATGCCTGTACTCCCAGCTACTTAGGAGGCTGAGGTAGGAGGATCACTTGAGCCCAGAGGACCAGGCTTCAGTGAGCCAAGATTGCACCATTGCACTCCAGCCTGGATGACAAAGTGAGACTCTGTCTCAAAAAAAAAAAAGAGTATTTGAAGAAGTGGCTAAAAATCCCCCAAATCTAGTGAAAGACACAAACCTACAGATCCAAGATGATGAGCAAATCTCACAGGATAAAGTACTAACATATCCATAATTACCTCTGCCCTGGCCAAGGAACCTCAGATCTTTAGTTTCTCAGAGACCACGGCTGGGGTCATAAGCTTATAGTTAGGATCTTCCTTATAGGTTGTCATAGGTAGGTTTGTCAAACAAGACTAGGTTACTGAGCTTGTCTCGAACTTTGCCACTGGACTACTTTTCAGCCTTGGCCCCATATCTCTTCACTGGGTCTTTGTCTTTCTTTGTTGACTTTCCGGCATCTTTTTTCTTCTTGTGGTCCTTGGGAAGCATTGCAAAGCTCAGAGAGCAGTGGTGACCACTGCAGCTTTGCTGAGATGTTGGACTAAAAGGAAGTACTGTTCAGGAAAGGGCCAGAAGCCTCCTGCCACTGTGAGTACTTCTGGGGCAAAGGAGGCAGTATAGATTAAAAAAAAAAAAAAAAAAGTGACACCTTTATACTGCTTATAAGAAACTCACTTCAAATTCAACATAAATAGGTTGAAAGTAAAAGAATAGAACAAAATATACCATGCAAACATTAGTAATTTTTTTAAAATGCAGGAGTAGCTATAGTAATATCTGATAAAGTAGACTTCAGAGCAAAGAAAATTACTAGTGACAAAGAGGGACATATGTAATAACAGAAAGTTCGGGCCGGGCGCAGTGGCTCAAACCTGTAATCCCAGCACTTTGGGAGGCCGAGACGGGTGGATCACAAGGTCAGGAGATCGAGACCATCCTGGCTAACACAGTGAAACCCCGTCTCTACTAAAAAAATACAAAAAACTAGCTGGGCAAGGTGGCAGGTGCCTGTAGTCCCAGCTACTCGGGAGGCTGAGGAAGGAGAATGGCGTAAACCCAGGAGGCGGAGCTTGCAGTGAGCTGAGATCCGGCCACTGCACTCCAGCCTGGGCGACAGAGCGAGACTCTGTCTCAACAACAACAACAACAACAACAAAAAACAGAAAATTCAATCCACCAGAATATATAGGATCCTAAAGTGTACTCACCAAATAACAGAGCCTTAAAATATATTAAACAAAAACTGATAGAGCTAAAAGTTCAAATGCCTTTATGGTTATAATCGGGGAATTCAATACCTCCATTTCAGTAATTGATACAACTACTAAAGAGAAAATCAGCAAGGGTATAGAAGATCAGAACAACACATAAACCAACAGGATCTCACTGACATAAACAGAACACTCCACCCAACAATAACAAAACACATGCACCCATGAAACACTCTGGACAGACCATCAAACAACCTCAATAAAAGAATTGAAATGATAGTGTGTTCTCTGACCGCAATGGAGCCAAACTAGAAATTAGTAGCAGAAACATATTAGGAGATGTCTAAACACACGACTAAAATTGATCTGTCAATTTAATGCAATGCCTATTAAAATCTCAGTAAGATTTTTTACAGGCATAGACAATAGACATAGCCAAAACTTATTCTAAAATACATATGAAGAGGCACAGGCCCTAGTTAGACAATCTTGACAAAGAAGAAAAAAGTGGGAAGAATCTCTCTATTTGATTTTAAGGCTTACCATATAATTACAGTCATCAAGAGAGTGTGGTATCGGCAGAGGGTCAGACATACAGATCAATGGAACAGAACAGAGGACCCAGAAATAGGCCCACACAAATATGCTCAATGGATATTTGACAAGCGTGCAAACCAATTCCATGGAAGAATAAGCTTTCAAAAAAATGGCACTGGAGCAACTGGACATCCATAGGAAAAAATGAATCTAGACCTAAACCATAAACCTTATATAAAAATAAACACAAAATGAATCATAGGCTTAAATGTAAGCTATAAAACTTTTAGAAAAAAACACAGGAGAAAATGTTTGCGATCTAGGGCTAGGAAGAGTTCTAACTTGATACCTAAAGCATGATCCATAAAAGGAAAATGTAGTAAGATGGTAAGATTTTGCTCTGTGAAACAGCATGTGAAAACAATGAAAGAACAAGTTACAGACTGGGAAAAAATATTTGCAAACCAAAACTTAACAGTTAAAAAAGCAACTATACAATTTTGAGTAAATGACATGAGCAGACATTTCACCAAACAGGATATATAGGTGGCAAACAAGCACATGAAAAGATGTTTGACATCATTAGCTATTAGGGAAATGCAAATTAAAACTACCATGAGATATTACTACATACCCAACAGAATGGCTAAAATACAATATAGTAGGCCAGGCAGGGGAGCTCACACTTATAATTCCAGCAGCACTTTGGAAGGCCGAGGCAGGTGGGTCACTTGAGCCCAGGAGTTTGAGACCAGCCTGGGCAACATGGTAAAACCCCATCTCTACAAAAATTAACTGGGCATTATGGCACACAACTGTATTCCCAGCTACTTGGGAAACTGAGGCAGGAGGATTGCTTGAGCCTGAGAGGTGGAGGTTGCAGTGAGCCAAGATCGTGCCATTGCATTCCAGCCTGGGTGACAGTGAGACCCTGCCTCAAAAAAAAAAAAAAAAAAAAAAAGACAAACCAAAGGCTGGCAAGGATGTGGAAAAATTGAATCACTCCAACATTGCTGTTGGGAATGTAAAATTGGACCATAACTCTAGAAAATTTGGTACCTTCTCATAAAATATGCATCTATCATGTGACTTAGCAATTACACTGCTAGAGATCTGAGAGAAATGAAAATGTTTTATGTCGACATGAAAACATGTACAAAAATGTTCACTGCAGCTGTATTTGTAATGGCCAAACACTGGATCAGCCCAGACATCCTTCAACAGGTAAAACATATACATATCATGGAAAGTACTCAGCAATAAAAAGGAATGAATAAAAAGAATGAAACATTGATATATGCGGCAACTTGAAGGACTACCAGGAAATTACACTGAGTGAAAAGCCAATCCCAAAAGGTTACATACTGTATGATTCTATTTATATAATATTCTTAAAAAGACAAAATCATAGGAAAATGGAGGACAGATTAGTGGTTGCCAGGGGTTAAGGATGGTGGTGTGGGGAAGACAGGAGGGAGGTGGGTGTGGTTATAAAAGGGCAACACGAGAGATCTTGTGGTGTCGAAACTGTTCAGTATCTTATAGGACACATAAGCTTACATAGGTGATTAAACGATAGAATTGTAAATTATATAGAACACATCATAGAAATATTCATTAATACAAGTGAAACTAGGAAGTTTGAATACGATTGGTAGATTATATCAAAGTCAATGTCCTGGTTGTTATACTATAGTTCTACAAAATGTTACTTTTAGGGGAAACAGTGTAAGGTGTACAGAATTATTTGAATTATCTCTGAATTATTTTTAGAACTACATGTGAATCTATATTCACTCCAGCCTGGGTGACAGAGTGAGACCCTGTCTCAAAAAAAAAAAATCTGAATGTATGCTACATGCCATCACATGAATAATGTCTGTTTCACAGATGAGGGAACTGAAGTTGAGTGGTTGGTAACTGACTTAAGATTACAGAGCTAGTAAGAAGACAGGCTGGCATTCAAACTCTGGTTTGTTCAGCTGATAACTTAGAATATAATGTAAATGACTTAAGGGTTCAATTAGTTGACTGACGAAGTAAAAAAATAACTATTAATATATAACTTCAAAGGGTGAGCAACATTGTGCTTTCTACTAATGTGATATAAATTTAAAAGCTTTTGCTTTAGAATGGTATGCTAGGACTTAGGTACTAGAGCATAGTATCAAGAGTACTATAAATATAAGGGGTTTCTTTTTTTGTCTAATAATTATACATTTGAATTATAAGACTATCAACAGAAAACAAACACCAAAAAGTACCCATACCTACTTAATGTTGGCTTCAGATTAAAATAAAAATATCCTAAACCAAGTTTCAGCAAAATAATTTTATTTCCTAACATATGGTAACATACACATCCAATATGTGCTCCCCTTGCACATCTATTCACAAGTGACTTCCAAATGACAACTGCTTTGATATTTAAGCATGTGTTAAAAGTTATCTTAGTTGAGATTTGAAAAATGCTTTAGATGGATAACATTCTGAGTATACTGGATTGGTCACAGCAGAATTTACTTTAGTTAGATGAGTTCTACAAATTTAAAGCTTTGAAAAGCTACTACTTTTACATCTAATACATCCAGATGAATACGATGCAGCAATATCAGCTTGTATTCCGGAGAAATCTCATTAGTTTTTCTGGTGATGGAACCACTTATCCACTGTATTCGGAGAAAAGAAAAACAAATTAGAATTCCTGCTAAGAATCAAAATTACACCTAACATATAACAAAGACTAATATACTTGCTTTAATGAATTCTACTATGAATTACCTGAAAATGAATGGACATACATACAAAATTTCTCTACAGCACATGCAAGTGTTTTCTTTTGGGCTTTCTTACACTTCAGGCTAATTGTATAGTGTGATTTTCAAACTTTTTTTTTTTTTTTTTTTGAGACAGGGTCTCACTCTCTTGCCCAGAATGGAGTGCAGTAGCAGCAATCATGGCTTACTGCAACCTCCATCTTCCAGGTTCAAGCAATTCCCGTGCCTCAGTCTCCCTAGCAGCTGGCATTACAGACGTGTGCCACCACATCTGGCTAATTTTTGTATTTTTTTGTAGAGACAGGGTTTCTCCATGTTGGCCAGGCTAGTCTCAAACTCCTGGGCTCAAGTGATCCGCCCACGTCAGCCTCCCAAAGTGGTGGGACTACAGGCGTGAGCCATCACACCCAGCCTTCAAATTTGTTTTTTTTAAGTGGCAGAATCATTTTCTTACCAGAAAAATCTTACAGAGAATTCTGACATCTAAGGAGGAGAGAACTGTTTTCTGGGTGAAGCAGCCTGTGGCTAGATGGGAACGTGGAGATCAGCCCACTCAGGGTCCCCTCCAACGTCCAGCAGGCACCTCCACGGAACTCAGAGGGGCACAGTGGGTCATGGTTTGGAAACCGCTCTGATACAGTGTGGCACTAAAGGTGATATGTAGCAGCTCATCTTCCTTCCCACGCACACTACAGAATTCTAAAAACATTTCTCACTCTCTTCCCTCTCTTCCTGTGTATGTGATATGTTAAAAATATGTATGTGGCTGGGTGCAGTGGCTCACGCCTGTAATCCTAGCATTTTGGGAGGACAAGGTGGGTGGATCGCTTGCCTGGGTGACATGGCGAAACCCTGCCTGATTAGTGTTCAAGACCAGCCTGGTTCGAGACCTGGTTTGAGACCAGCTTGGGCAACATGGTGAAACCCTATCTCTACAAAATATAAAAAAATTAGACAGGTATGGTGGCACGTGTCTGCAGTCCCAGCTATTTGGGAGGCTGAGATGAGAGAATCACTTTAACCTGGGGAGGTTGTGGGTACAGTGAGCTGTGATCACGCCCCTGCACTCCAGCCTGGGTGACAGAGTGACAGCCTGGGTGACTCTGTGTCAAAAAACAAGCCAGGTTCAGAAAGACAAATACCACATGATCTCATTTATATGTGGAATATAAAAAAGGTGAATTCATAGAGGTAGAGAGTAGAATGGTGGTTGCCAGGAGCTGAAGGATGGGGAAAGGGCAGGTGATGGTCAAAGGGTACCAAGTTTTAGTTAGACAGAAGGAATAAGCTTTAGTGATCTATTGCACAGAATGGTGACTGTAATGTCTATTTCAAAATTGCTAAGAGTAGATTTCAAATGTTTTTACCACACACCAAATAATGATTAAGTATGTGAGGTAATGATTTCTTAATTAGCTGGATTTAATCATTCCACATTGTAAACATATATCAAAACATCACACTGTATGCTATAAGTATATATAATTATCATTTGTCAACTAAAAATAAAAGTAACATAATTTTTCCATACATCTGTGTAATTTTTAATGAAATTTTACTGGAATAGAAATCTTACCATCTGTTGGTACTGTGCAAGCAGATTCACAGGGTGGTGGTAACTAAAATATAAAATATTAAAATCTATTAGTCTAATCTCATTTTTTAAAAAGCTAAAAAGGTATACTGACAAAAATTTAGGAGAATCTGGACTATCCCAAATTTTAGGATCTAAACATAATTTGTAATATATAGGAATAACAGAAAGTTTGCTCTAGTGCTGAGATGCTAACAAATCCAAGCCTCTTGGATGGTACAGTGGCTCACGCCCATGATCCCAGCACTTTGGGAGGCCGAGGTGGGTGGATCACAAGGTCAGGATTTCAAGACCAGCCTGGTCAACATGGTGAAACCACGTCTCTACTAAAAATAAAATTATCTGGGCGTGGTGGCAGGCGCCTGTAATCCCAGCTGCTCGGGAGGCTGAGCCAGAGAACTGCTTGAACCTGGGAGGCGGAGGTTGCAGTGAACCGAGATTGCGCCACTGCACTCCAGCCTGGGCAACAGAGTGAGACCCGTCAAAAAAAAAAAAAAAAAAAAAAAAAAAAAAAAAAAAAAAAAAAAATTCAGGCCTCTTGACTTTTTATGACATGGAGAATAATTAATACGAAAAAACCGATTTATGCATATATAACAATTTTATATATACACACATATTTATAAAATATGGGCAAAGTGTTCTCACTGAAAAATTATGATAGCTAACCACTGGCTTTTCCCTTACAATTTTTCTTATTTATCTCAACTTTGTCAGGATTCATACATAAATAAAGATAAATCTAAATGTACTGGTTTCATCATTAAATTGTCCTTTTTTCCTTCTTCCACCCCATTAAGAAGGCAATAAAAAAGTCAGACCTCATTTTCTTTTGTTTTCCTTATTTAGTATTATAAATGAAAATAATTTAAGATGATCTCATTCAATCTTTTGGTAAATCCAAATCAAATAATTAAAAATAGTACAAAAGCAAAATTATTGCTTTGATGGGTGCTTTTACTACCTCACATGAAAGCCTTTCTTAGGTTACAAATCATTCCTGCAATGGCACCTAAAACTTTGATACCTTCCTCAGTCCTTGCTAAAACCAAGTAAGTAAATTCCCATTGGTTCTTTTGTGGAAGTGGCTTATTATGGGTTATAGGCACACAGGTTACTTGGTACATTCTGGAACCATTTTGAGTTTTACTAATTTTACTACCATGCTATCTGTCCAACTTATGATTGATTAGAATCACTCCCTCAGCTTCTCCCTCAGTCAATGGCCACTTGTATGTGTTCATGGTTTCTAATTTCAAGACTCCACACAGTAATATGCATACAAAAGGCACTCAAGTATTTGTTGAAACAAGTACTTCCTCTCCCCATTTAGCATCATAGTTTTTAGCAACCAGGTTTTTTTTTAAAAGGAAACTTTTACATACAGCATCCACAATGGCTCTGGCAGCATCAGGATCACACTTGAAGGGGCTCTCAGACACAGTTGTATTCATGCTATTAAATAAAACAAAAGTAGTCATAAGACAAAATAACAAAAATTATCTCTTAAGAGTTAAAAATTGAGTTGAAAGTGGTTGACCAGGTGATGTTCAAGTTTAGTTTAGTCAAAAGCTTTTTCACGTACATTTAACATTCTAATTATTTATTCTGGCAAGGCATAGCTATTCTTGTGATCAATTTTATTCAAACATCTTAACAAGTTCGGATTTAAGAAACTGAGATTGGGCCGGGCACGTTGGCTCACGCCTGTAATTCCAGCACTTTGGGAGGCTGAGGCAGGCGGATCACAGGTCAAGAGATTGAGACCATTCTGGCCAACATGGTGAAACCCCATCTCTACTAAAAATACAAAAATTAGCTGGGCATGGTAGCGCGTGCCTGTAGTCCCAGCTACTTGGGTGGCTGAAACAGGAGGATCGCTTGAATCTGGAAGGCAGAGGTTGCAGTGAGCCGAGATCGTGCCACTGCACTCCAGCCTGGAGACAGAGCAAGACTTTGTCACAAAAAGAAAAGAGAAGAGAAGAAAAGAGAAGAGAAAAGAGAAGAGAAGAGAAGAGAAGAGAAGAGAAGAGAAGAGAAGAGAAGAGAAGAGAAGAGAAGAGAAAAGGAAGGAAGGAAGGCAAACAAACTGAGATTGAATGCTTTGTAACTCTCACTGAAATAGCTGAGAAATGTGAATTAAAATGAGAAACATATCTTTCTTAATTGGAAAAAATAATGAAACAAACAAACAAAAAAAACCCAGTTCCTGTAGTGCTGGTGAGACATCTGAAACAGACACTTCTGGCAGGAGTCCTGGTTCAATCTTTCTGAAAAGTAATTCTGTAAAATGTATCCAAAACCTTTTAAAAAGCTCGTAGGTCTTGATAGAGAAATTCCACCTCTAAGAACCCAATTCAAGACTGAAACGGTAATTTACAAAGGTGTTTACCATATACTATTTCACTATTAATAATAGTGAAAAATTGCAAGTAACTAAAATGTCCAATAATAAGAAATGATTAAAAATAGTTTATCCTTCTTTGCAGGGGATTTAAAAATAAAACATAAAAAGGTTTATCCATAAAACATATTATACAGAGATGGAATATTATATTATTAAAATAAGATCTTTCTAGACTGGGCATGGTGGTTTGCATCTGTAGTCTAAGTGCTTTTGGAGGCTGGACTGTGAGAGGATCACTTGAAGCCAGGAGGCCAAGATCAGTCTGGACAACATAGCAAGACACTGTCTCTACAACAAATTTAAAAATCATCTGGGAGTGGTGATTTGTGCCTGTAGTCCCCAGCTACTTGGGAGGCTGAGACAGAAGGATCACTTCTTTGAGGTTACAGTGAGCTATTACAGTAACATCGCACTTCAGCCTGGGTGAGAGACCCTGTCTCTAAAAAAAAATTATATTTTTAATGACATGAGGAAATGCTTATTATATAGTGTTAAATTTTAAAAATCATAAGACAAGCCGTATATATAATACAATCCTAATTTGTTTTTTGTTTTTTTAGCCCACTTTAGTCTAAAATATGGATCATATTTTAAAAATACATTTTTTTGTTTATCCATAGTTCAAGTTTTCCTATATATTAGTCATTATAGTATTAATATAATATATGCCCAATTAGAAATATTCCATCAAGGCCGGGCATGGTGGCTCACGCCTGTAATCCCACCACTTTGGAGGCCAAGGCAGGTGGATCACGAAGTCAGGAGTTCGAGACTAGCCTGGTTAACATGGCAAAACCCCGTCTCTACTAAAAATACAAAAATTAGCCAGGAATGGTGGCATGCGCCTGTAATACCAGCTACTCAGGAGGCTGAGGCAGGAGAAACAATTGAATCCGGGAGGCGGAGGTGGCAGTGAGCTGAGATAGTGCCATTGTACTCCAGCCTGGGCAACAAGATCAAGACTCTGTCTCAAACAGCAACAACAACAAAGAAATACTCCATCAAAATGAAAAATGAATAAACTTTGCTTACCTGTTATTTAACATACATTAAGACCATTTTCATAGAAATCGTTAAGATACCAAAAAATAGAGAAGTTAACTTAAAAGCCAAATCTTTTTCCTTTTTTTTTTTTTCTTTTGAGACAGGGTCTTGCTCAGTTGCCCCAGCTGAAGTGCAGTGAGGCAATCACAGCTCACTGCAGCCTTGATCTCCAAGGCTCAAGTGATCTTCCCACCTCAGCATTGCTACAGGCAAGCGCCACCAGGCCTGGCTAGTTTTTTTTAATATTTAGTAGAGATAAGGTCTCACTATGTTGCCCCCACAGTCTCCAGTTCCTGAGTTCAAGTGATCCTCCTGCCTCAGCCTCCTAAACTGCTGGAATTACAGGAATGAGCCACAGCACCCAGCCAAATGCCAACTCTTAGGATTGTACAATTTTACACAAATATATATAACTCTTCTCCATTTTTCTTCTGTTTGAAGGACAGTGTTTTCATTTTATAGGACATTATCCTGACACAGAATAGAAGATTTCTGGGAGAATTATTTCTGTACATTAGCCTTTTCTCATACTCTCTCTCTCCTTTTTTTTTTTTTTTTTTTTGAGACCGAGTCTCACTCTGTCACCCAGGCTGGAGTACAGTGGTACGATCACGGCTCACTGCAGCTTCAACCTCCCCAGGCTCAGGTGATCCTCCCAACTCAGCCTCCTACGTAGCTGGGACTACAGGTGTGTACCACCATGCCCAGCTAATTTTTGTACTTTTTGTAGAGATAGGGTTTCTCCATGTTGTCCAGGCTGGTCTTCAACTCCTGGGCTCAAGCGATCCGTCCACCTTGGCTTCCCAAAGTGCTGGAACGACAGTTGTGAGCCACCACACCCCGCCTTGTATCTCTTTTCTAAGTGAAAGTAACAGCACAGTGTCTTATGATTATTAAAACCTCTTCTGCAAGCTGGTCTGCTTTGTGTGTTAAACATGCAAAGTGTTTACACTTACCAACTGATTCCTTTTCCATTCGTTTTCTTAGTCACTAATGCTTTCCAATGGTCATGAGTGCTTTTAATAATATCAATTGCAAAGTCCTATAATTTGAAGAGATTTGCATTACAATGATAAAAAGGTATTCTTTTCCTATTATCAACATTTCCCCAAAGCCTGATAATTTGTCTCTTTTGAATCATTTCCTTATTCTAAAAATGGAAGAGAATATTAAAGTGAATAAACACCAAGACTGTGTTATGTTTCCAGACTTCTGTTTTATGAATCTTTAGATAGTAACAATATGGTTAAATTATAAGTCTCAATAGAAATGAGCCTAAAGCTACAGTTCTGAATGACATATTACCTTATCTTTAAATTCTGCATTAAAAGCAAACTCGTTTTCTGGTTTTCCATCAGGAACCTTATACCTTCTAAACCAGTCCACAGTAGCTTCCAAGTAGCCAGGTTTCAGCCGTTTGACATCATTGATATCTAAGAAGAGAAGAAGCATAAGATGACAGTGACAATGATTTTTTTAAAAAAGAAAGAGAATAAGCAGATTTCAAGATGCACAAATAATTACACATTCAACAAAAATTCCAAGTACTTATTTTGAAAGAGCTGTGGAATGACTTATCATGGAAGTTCAAGATAATGTTGGAGCGAAGCCCCTTGTTGAGAAGAGAAGCCATACATTGAAAGGAAATCATCTAGTGTCTCCAAATATCTCTAACATTAAGTACAGAGGACAATCAGTACAATAGTAATCTCTGTTAGGTAAGGGCAAACAGCTGGTGGCTACATAATGAAACAACCAGTTTGGCAAATGTAGATAATTCCTATGAGAAGTGTACAAGATACTGAAAAAGACAGAGGTTATCTTTTTTTTTTTTTTTTTTGGAGACAGGGTCTCTCTCTGTCACCCGGGCTAGAATGCAGTGGCCCGAACAAGGCTCACTGCAGCCTTGACCTCCAGAGCTCAGGTGATCCTCTCACCTCAGCCTCCTGAGTAGCTGGGACTATAAGCATGCACATGCCCAGCTAATTTTTAAATTTTTTGTAGAGATGGGGTCTTGTCATGTTACCCAGGCTGGTCTCAAACTCCTGGGCTCAAGCAATCCTCCTGCCTTGGCTTCCCAAAGCACTGGGATTACAGGCTTGAGGTACTATCCCTGGTCCAGAGGCAGAGGCTATATGTCAGAGAATCACAACACTATTACGTACTAAAAGATAAGAAAAATAGATTAGATTGATATCCATTGTTGGGTTATGTATTAAATGTGACTAGACTTTGCTGGATAGTACAGGCACTATATATGACAATACTTTAGTTCTGGCTGACAGAAAAGTGTACTGCTTAAAAAACTTTAAGTTTCTGTGTAGCCATCAACAATGGCTAGCCTCAATGTCATCAAACTGCACTTTAAATAACAAACTCCTGCACAATGCAAGCAAACAGAGATACACATACTAAAAAGTCAGTTAGGAAAAGTATTATGAGGAAGAGAAATACATTTGACAACAACAAAAGCTTATTTATATTTGTATAACATAACATTGCTTCAATCCAGTTTATTTATTTTTTTGAGATGGAGTCTCACTCTGTCTCCCAGGCTGGATCTCGGCTCACTGCAAGCTCCGCCTCCTGGGTTCACGCCATCTCCTGCCTCAGCCTCCTGAGTAACTGGGACCACAGGTGCCCACCAACATGCCTGGCTAGTTTTTTTGTATTTTTAGCAGAGATGGGGTTTCACTGTGTTAGCCAGGATGGTCTTGATCTCCTGACCTCATGATCCACCTGCCTCGGCCTCCCAAAGTTCTGGGATTACAGACATGAGCCACTGCGCCCGGCCGATTTATAATTCAATCCAATTTATAATCTGCGTAAAGAATAGCATGCATTCTATTATCATAGTATCACTAAAAGTACGGAAACTTTACAGAATGCACTGGGCAATGTTTAAGCACTAGTAAATTTCAAAGAACTTATAATTTACATAAAATGTGTCACCTGATACAGAAATAATTTGGAAATCCAGAAATCCAACATGCAAATGTTGATGTTTTCCAATACCAGAAACCAATTCTCCATTTATTCAGAAACCAACTGGGTGCTCAGTAATTCAGTGTGATTCTGACACTATCTACCTGGAGTTAGCATCAGATCTCAAAGGTTAGGGGCCCAGTCTCATAAGACTGCCCCACTTCAGATGCCTCCTGTACTTCTGACTGATCAGCTATAAATTGGGGGTTTTCACAATCCTCTCCCTAAGTTCCCTAATTTGCTAAAATGATTCACAGAACTCAGGAAAACACTGAAGTTTAACATTTTGTTATATGCATGCAACTCAGGGACAGCAAATGGAAGAGATGCACAGGGGCAAGCTACAGGATGGACAATAGATACTGCCTTAGGTTGACATTAGGGAAAGCTGCATACTACTTGCACCATGGGACCAGCCACCCCAAGAAAGTTTTCACGGTTCTAATAACCTGAACTGCAGGGAAATAATGCCTTAGTAAATGAGTGCTGACAGAGTGACGGGCTTGGCTTCACTAATCATGGCCACAGCATGCCAAGTTCTCTTGCATAAGAAGTACATTGGAAATGCAGGCACCGACCTACAGAACAGAGCCGCACCACCAAGTTAGTGAACAGATGGTGTGAATGCACTCTCACCTTTCAAAATTGAAACGAAACGTTAAAGGATTGGCATTCTTCCAGTCCTTCTTCAATGAATTAACACAGATGCAAATATACATCACATCATTTTGAGGGAACATGCTCTCAAGGTGACTCTTATCACTGCTGACATTGACCTCCATCACCTGGCTGAGGCAGTGTTTGTCAAGTTTCTGTGCTGTAAAGTCATTCTCTCCTGTCCCTTACCCACATTGTACTCGTTGGAAGGAAGTCACCATGCACAGCTCACAATTAAGGACCTCCTTGAGAAGGGAGTATCTACATAAATTATTTGGAATTCTTCTGCTTTGAGATTTATCTATTCTTCCTCATTTGTTTATTTATTCAATCATTTATTTATGTCAGTAGAGACTCATGGATATTTATTTTATGTTCCAGGTTATATTAAAATACTACTTTATTTTCTTGCTCAAATTGTTCTAGCTTTGGCAACTCCTATGTATGTACCCAAGAATAAAAACATAAGTCCACACAAAAACTTGTACAGGAATGTTCATGGCAGCATTACACAGTCAAAACAACCCAAACGTCCATCAACTGATGAATGGATAAACAAAATGTAGTATATCCACACAATGGAATAATATTCAACCATAAAAAGGAGTACTGACAGATGCTACAATATGCCATATGGATGAACCTAGAAAACATTATACTAAGTGAATGAAACCAGAAACAACAACAAAAAAAATCCACATATTGTACCAGTCCATGTATGAGATACCTAGAATAGGTAGAATAGGCAACTCCATAAAGACAAAAAGCAGATTAGTGGTTGCCAGGGCCTGGAGAGGAGGAGGGAATAGGGAATGACTTGAACTAGTGGTGATGGCTGCACAACCTTGTGAATGAATGAAATGCCACTGAAGTGTACACTTTCATTAAAATGGTGAATTTTATGTTATGTAAATTTTAGCACCAAAAAAAAAGGGGGGGGGGGAATGAAGTGCTGATACATGCTACAATATGGATGAACTCTGAAAACACTTATTTCACTAAGTGAAATAAACCAGACACAGAGGCCACCTATATGATGCCATTTACATGAAATGACAGCATAGGCAAATCCATAGGCACAAAATAGATCCGCAGTCACCTGGGACTGAGGGAAGCGGGACAGAGAGTGATAGCCCATGGACACAGGATTTCCTTTTGGGCTGATGAAATGTTCTGCAATTAGACAGTGGTGATGGTTGTACAACTTAGTGAATATACTAAAAACCACTGAATTGTGCATTTTACAGTGGTGACTCTTTGATATGTGAATATCTCAATTAAATGTTTTAAAATAAATAAACATAGCAACTGAGTGCTGGTATGTGGGGAAGGAAAGGACAAAGAAACAGTAAGAACTTACCAGATTTTTTCTGTTCTGGAATGAAGGAGAAAGTGTACTTAGTTAATTACAAGTAGTCATAGAAATAATGCTTGAACAGTGCTTTGTTCCTCCATCCTTTAATAGTTTGAAGTAATGGGCTTACAATTCTGTCATTACAGGTTAAGTTTGGTGGTGTTTATGAATTAATTAGAAAGACTTCAGACTCTTCAAATTTTCTTACCATTATAGTTGGCTGCATCAGGATCATCCACATTAATGGCAATGACTTTCCAGTCGGTTTCCCCTTCATCAATCATAGCCAATATGCCTAGAACTTTCACGCCAATTATTTCACCTCTTGCACATACCTGAGTCAATAGACAAAGTCAGGACAACATTACAGAATGAAACTCTAGAAGACGGTTTTACTTGGCTAACAGGAAGTAAGAAAGAGGCCAAGTTCTTGTGAATTTACCTGGAGACTGTTTCTTTAAGCAAATTTTAAAAACCTAGGTAAGTAAATGTTTCATCAGTCCTATTGAAGTTGAAAACAGGACTTATAGGTCCTATTTTCTTCTAGGTCATAGGGAAACCAGTACATAGCTCAGGGTAATCAATGTTTTTTGCACTATCATTGATTATACTGAAGAATAAGTCCTCCATAGTCTCAAATATGTATCTTAATATGCTTTACCTTTTATTTTATAAAAGTCATTGAGTTAAGCAAGTCATACAATGACTTAAAAAGTTTATGACTTAAAAAACAAAATGAAAACTTTGTTTTTAGTTGTTTACTATTTCTCTGAGCCTGAGAGAGACATAAAGAAATAACTATAATCAGAATCTTAGAACAACCCTCCTTGATGGAGGAATTACTACCATGAATCTCCAACTCAAGAGGTTATTTGGTTTGGGTCAATTTACTGATCACTCTAAATCGTTAGGCAAGGTTTGCCATGGATTGAGAGGGAATTTCCCTCCTGGTACCTTTCACCTATTGACTAATTATCCATCTTCTAAAGCAATGCAGAACACGTCCAGTTTTTCCAGATATATGTTCAATCACACATACACAGACACGTTTTTCTTCCAGACTAGGTTTAAATGTACAAATTATAATATACAAATGCTTAAAATGCAAGAGAAGCCTTTAATACCAAAGAGACATCATTATTTCACTAATATTCATCCATTTTATTCACAGTATTTTTTAAAGTATGAAATTTGGTATACTTCATTAATCTCTCAACACTAAAGAAAAAAACGTCACATTTCATTACCTTGCTTCCAATTTCACACACATCAATTGGGTCATTGTCACCACAACAGCCAGTATGTTTATCATTGTGCCCTGGGTCTTCCCAAGTCTGAAAAAAATAATACTTAGTGTATATCGTTCCTATACATATGGACAAAATGGATCATGTTGAGAATAATAGATAACATCCTATGACTCTTCAGCTATTTTTTATCTCATTGTTTTAGTTCTTTATTCACATGTAAGAATCTTAACTACGCACAATAGTTTCAATTAAATGTTGTAGCTCCTACTACACATATAATGCTAAATTTAAGCTTTAAAACAGATAATGATCCTATTTTAAGCAAGCAAAAGCCAACTACTTAATAACTGAGACAACAGGGAAAACACAAATATAGACCGAAATGTTTACTTTAAAGATGTGTGGTTTTAGGCTGGGGAGGCTGAGGCAAGTGGATCACCTGAGGTCAGGAGTTCGAGACCAGCCTAGCCAATACAGTGAAACCCTGTATACACTAAAAATATAAAAATTAGCCAGGCGTGGTGGTGCATGCCTGTAATACCAGCTACTTGGAAGGCTGTGGCAGGAGAATCGCTTGAACCCAGGAAGCAGCGGTTGCAGTGAGCCTAGATCATGCCACTGCACTCCAGCCTGGGCAACAGAGCGAGGCTCCATCTCAAAAAAAAAAAAAAAAAAAAAAAAAAACCAGAAAATAAAACACACAAAAATGTGTGTGTGTGTTTTCTTTTCTTTTCTTTCTTTCTTTTTTTTTTTTTTTTGGTAGAGACAGGGTCTCACTATGTTGCCCAGGCTTGTCTCAAACTCCTGGGCTCGAGTGATACTCCCACCTTGGTGTCCCAAAGTATGGGATTACAGGCATAAGCCACTGTACCTGGCCTTAGATTTTCTTTATAATAAATTCCCAAAACAGAAGTAGGTAGGCAAGAATAGTAAGATGGAAAGGTTATGTTCTTTTTCTTTTTTGAGACAGAGTCTTGCTCTGTCGCTCAGACTGGGTGGAGTGCAGTGGCACAATCTTGGCTCCCTGCAACCTCTGCCTCTCATGTTCAAGCAATTCTCCTGTCTCAGCCTCCTGAGTCGCTGGGATTACAGGCACACACCACCACACCTGGCTAATTTTTGTATTTTTAGTAGAGATGGGGTTTCACCATGTTGGCCAGACTGGTCTTAAACTCCTGACCTCAGGTGATCCTCCCACCTTGGCCTCCCAAAGTGCTGGGATTACAGGTATGAGCCACCACACCCAGCCAAAAGGTTACGTTCTGATGTTAAAAGTATCATCACTGACCAGGAGTCAAGACTGAAACATTTAATCAGGATTTTTCAGAACTTTACATGACTGGTTTTCTTTCCTTCCTAAATTGTAAGCCAGAGTCCTTGCAGAACATCTCACAAAAACACTGATAGCCTGTGCTAGCCAGGATGTTAGGTTTAAAATGTAGCTGTTGCTATTGGTTCTTTTTGCCTCCAACTGGAACACATTACTTGGATTTTTTGGCTACTCAGCTGGAGTAAAGGCAAAAGATAAATGAGAAGGGTGATAAAGGAAGACCACATCTAACAAATCCAACATTAAGAAAGCAAAATCCAACCCACAGAATAGTAAGTATTTCAGCAATGTTCTCCTACAAGGATGATATATCAAGGCTGAATACTATTAATAAATCCATTGAGGCCGGGTGTGGTGGCTCATGCCTGTAATCCCAGCACTTTGGGAGGCCGAGGCAGGCAGATGAAAAGGTCAGGAGTTTGAGACCAGTCTGGCCAATATAGTGAAACCCTACCTCTAATAAAAATACAAAAAATTAGCTGGGCGTGGTGGTGGGTGCCTGTAATCCCAGCTACTCAGGAGGCTGGGGCAAGAGAATCGCTTGAAACTGGGAGGCAGAGGTTGCAGTGAGCCAAGATTGCGCCACCGCACTCCAGTCCGGGCAACAGTGTGAGACTCCGTCTCAAAAACAACAACAACAACAACAACAACAAAAATCAATTAAAGTATAAGGTGAAACACTGTAATTAAGACAAACAAATGACTTTGTGCTTACCTAACAAGCCAGATGGGTCAGACCTATGTTCTACTATCTTATAGGTTGTTTCATAGTAGGTTCCATTTAACAGACTTCATTGTTAATAAAAACAAACCATTTATCAACAAATTCAACTGAATGTTTATTTAGTGTCTCAGCATTAAATTTTAAGTGCCACAGCACTGGCCTAGCCAAACCAGAATTAAATAGATGTCATTTACTCATTATAGACAAGATCCTAGTGATTCTTCACTCAAATATTAAATAAGAACCTGCTACATACTGACATTGTGCCAGGAATAAATTGGTAAACAACCCTTCTCAAAGGGTTGACTATTTAAGAAAACAGGATCCCCTCATTACTTTACCACAAAGAGCTTGACCTGAAGAAGAGGGAATCAAGACTCTAAACATAAAAGTCAGCAGTTATGAGAGCTTGTATGTGCAGGTGTTAAGGCTTTATTTTTTGAAATAACCATACCACCTACATACTGTGAATAGCTCAGGGAGGCAATATTAACGTCTCAAGGAGAAAGAAAGTGAGGCAAGTTAGATAAGCTAGGAAGTGGCCATCTTGGGATTTGAACTCTAGTCTGTCTGGTGCCAAAAATCAGTGCTTTTGACTACTACCATACACTCTTTCTTGACTGAATAGACTTGCAACTTGGTCTGTAGAGAATTTATATAGCTTACAACCAGTCCAAAAAAGAAAAAATATTTCAGAAAAGAATAAATGTTCAAATCTGAATTTAAACATTGTAAATATTTACCTTTCAGTTTATCTTGAAAATAAGTTATTTAAGGAAGCATTCAAATGAGTTAATTATCCCTTCTTATGTTTTTAAAATCTACCATAGAAAAAACTCTCCACAGGTATTCAAATCTTTTTTACGAATAGCAGTAAGTTAATATTTAGTAAGTTAAAAAGTACATTGTCAGCAGTTGCATGAAGACATACCTGAGGGATGGCACCATAGTTCCAGATATATCCTTTGTACGGGAACAAATTCGCAACATAGCGAAGTTTTCCTTTTTTCACATCTTGTTTAATGGGGTTTAAAGGGTCCTTTGTAGCAATCTGAAATAAAAAATTTCAAATCGTTGCATATTTGGATGTGAAATACTATTCAAATAAGGATCTGAGGAAATGAATTATGGTATCTATGTTCCCTAATTCCACTTTAATGATATATTCTATCCCTAACAATTTTATAATTGAACTAAGGTGCTTCCATAATCAGCCACTAAGTGGAAAGGTTATGTGAGGTATAAAGGAACTATCAAGAAGGGAAGAAGAACATTTACTAATTCTAGAAAGCAAAGACTAAAATTACCTGGAATAAATTCTAATGTTTGAGTAATAAAAATATTGTAATTTTTATTAAAAGGGCAAAATAAATACTATCCAATTTTATTTTCCTTTACAGAATTTAAAATTATTCAAATACTCGGGTATTTATTACACACAAAAAATGTGATTACTGTAAAAAAGTATGTGGTATAAAATGTTATAAATATCCATAACAAAAAGGCAATGATGGTAGGTATCGTCAGAAAGAAACTAACACCATGCAACTGAAATTCCAATGAGAGTATCTGTGGCTGGGGTGACTAAAGAGGGGTCAGTGATGGGCTTACAGAGAGTAAGAGGAGAAAAAGTAGTTCTAGGTTTTGGGAACATCGGAAGCAAAGATGTTGGGAAGAAAAGTTTGGGGCATATTTGTAAACAGCTGAGTTTAGCTGGAGCCCAAAGGGAAGACTGCTGGCAATGGGAGATACAACTAGAAAACAGACTGGGACCAGATGGAGAAAAACCTTGGAGTTCAGATGGTTCATCCTTGATCAAGTCAGTGTGACTCGATCAAAACCAATATCCTAAGTCTCACTCAAATGTAAAGTGAAATATTACCTCCATTTTTGCATTAGACCAGCGTGGCACTTCAACTACCATGTGGAACACATCCTGAAAAAACAGAGAAAGTGAGATGGTCACAGGAGCCAATTTGTTCTTTAAGGGAGCATGCACTATTTCTTCCAAAGTCAAACTGTTCATTGTATCAGATCTTTGAAGTCAATTGGATTTTCAACAAAATGCATCAAAAAAAAAAAGAGAATGATGGATGAAGAAATAATGCAATTATAGGAAAATATTCATTATAGAATCAAGGTGGTCAGTATATGATTGCTTACTGTATAGTTCTTCTTAATTTTTATTTACTTCTAAATTTTTTGTAGAGACAAGCTCTTACTATGTTGCCAAGGCTGGTCTCAAACTCCTGGCCTCAAGTGATCCTCCTGCCTCTACCTCCCAAAGTGCTGGGATCACAGGTGTGAGCCATCTCGCCCACACTTACTATATAAATCTTTTAACTTTTCTGTATGCTTTAAGTGTTTCAGAATAAAAATTGACAGTGGAAAGAATGTTCCTAGGAAGGAAACAGTTCTTAAATAAACATAACAGAACCTGTATCTCTGAAGAAGACCATCTTCAAAACACTCTCCAAAGGCCAGTGTTATTTCCTTCAGAGACACTGCAATTACTCAAAATGTTTTCAGAGCCTCCATTTCAGAGATGGTTTATAAGACAAACCCCAAGTCAGCCTAATTACTTGATCATACTTTAGTTTATAAGGCGAACCTCCGTCAGCCTAATTACTTGGTCATACTTTAGTTTTAGCATCAAACAAAACTCATCAGCTTCATTATCCATATTATTCTCCCAATTTGGCTGTTTTTAGAAATAAAGACCCCCTCAAAAGGTCTTTGACTTTGAAGATAAGAGAATATGCTCTAAAAATATTTTAATCAATGATAGTTCTATTGTAATTGGCTTATAGCCTTAAATTGACTACTATAAAATGGATATATTCAGGGAGTAAATTCTCAGATGTGCAGTTTAAAAACATAATGAAAAACAAACCATACTTTGCCAACCCATTTTGCACACTGGAGTTAAATATGGCATAGGTTATTTAAACTTGAGCTTTAATTATTCAGAATACTATTTTTTTTTTTCAAGGAATAGAACTTTAACTGCAGTTTTTCAGTTTTCAGCCTCTACAAAGGGCACAGATGAAGCTAAATCTGTAATAACTGTTTTCTGTCACCCAGGCTGGAGCGCAGTGGCATAATCTTGGCTCACTGCAACCTCCACCTCCTGGGTTCAAGTGATTCTCCTGTCTCAGCCTCCCAAGTAGCTGGGATTACACAGGGGCGTGCCACTACACTGGGCTTATTTTTGTATTTTTAGTAGAGATGGAATTTCACCATGTTGGCAGGCTGGTCTCAAACTCCTGACCTCAGGTGATCTACCTGCCTTGGCCTCCCAAAGTGCTGGGATTATAGGTGTGAGCCACCGCACCTGGCCTGCAGTCCTGCTTATAAAATGTTCTTTTTTTTTTTTTTTTTTGAGACAGGGTCTCACTCTGCCACCCAGGCTGGAGTGCAGTGGCATGAGCTTGACTCACTGAAGCCTCAACCACCCTGGCTCAAGCAATCTTCCCATCTCAGCCTCCTGAGTAGCTGGAGCTACAGGTGCACACCACGACATCCAGCTAAGATAGATAGATAGATAAAAGATAGATATATATATATAAAATTTTTTTTTTGGTAGAGATGGAGTTTTGCCATGTTACCCAGACTGGTAAAGTACATTTTAAGAACTTAACTTAAAATGAAAATCACTTGGTTACATCACTCTTTAGAATTACTTCTTTGCTACTTTCCATCAAAACATGGGAACTGATAAGCCACAAGGGAATAAGTCAAAGGTTCCAAGTTAATAATTACCTTGCTGGTACCAAGCAGAAAAACTACACTGATTTCAATTCAAAAGTGTAAAACTTCTGTCATTTTAAGTTCCTGCTGAAACCATGGAAGACTAAAGCATCCATGGGTTTCTGCACCAAGCCTCCTGACACCTCACCTACCCAGTACAACATAAAAACCAAAAGAATGGAGATATTACTTAAATCTAGGACTGAAGAAACTGCTCTATCCCTGTATCCCTCTAAAATAACTAGATGGTTTAGAAAATGTAACCCTGATTGTTCATCCTGGGTAGAAAACCTCAGAACCAATCTTTGACTACATTTCACCTTGCCCACTAAGTTTTCAAGAGTTTTGTCCACTTCTCAGGCGTAAAAATGAGATCTGTAGGTACGTGAAAAGAAAAGTCAGGGCCTTCGGTTTTCAGTAGCAGTACCCTAAAGATTCACAAGATGGAGCTGTTATGACATGAAAGATCAACTGAAGAGCTCGCCAAGATTAGCTGTTAATTTTGTTAAAACGCCACCAGGCCAGGCGCTGTGGCTCACGCCTGTAATCCCAGCACTGTGGAAGGCCGAGGCGAGTGGATCACCTGAGATACGGAGTTCAAGACCAGCCTGACCAACATGAAGAAACTCTGTCTCTACTAAAAATATAAAAACTAGCCGGTCATAATGAGGCATTCCTGGAATCCCAGTTACTCGGGAAGGCTGAGGCAGGAGAATTGCTTGAACCTGGGAGGCGGAGGTTGCAGTGAGCCGAGATCGCCCCATTGTACTCCACCTTGGGCAACAAGAGCCAAACTCCCTCTCAAAAAAAAAAAAAAAAAAAAAAAGAAAGCCACCAAATGAATACATTGCTTCAAGAAAGATATAGCAAATAGAGCTGAAATAACTAATTCAAAGTTTAGAAACTATATTGAACACTTTAATAGCATTAAATGACAAATATGTGTAGACTCTCAAAACAGTATTACCTAATAACATAAATCTACATAATTAATGGGAAGGAAAAAAATAACAAGGAAGAAAACATCCTTCAGAAAATGGTGAGAGAATTCTACAGCGAACAAAAGCCTGAAGGTCTGGTGCTTTTTAGAAATATAGCTGGGTGAGGCCGGGCGTGGTGGCTCACACCATTATAGGTGTGATTATACCCATTATAGGTGGGATTATACCCAGCACTTTGGGAGGCCAAGGTGGGCGGATCATGTGGTCAGGAGATCGAGACCATCCTGGCTAACACGGTGAAAACCCATCTCTACTAAAAATGCAAAAAAATTAGCCGGGCGTAGTGGCGGGCGCCGTAGTCTCAGCTACTCGGGAGGCTGAGGCAGGACAACAGCGTGAACCTGGGAGGCAAAGGTTGCAGTGAACCGAGATCACACCACTGCACTCCAGCCTGGGCAACAGAGCAAGACTCCATCTCAAAAGAAAAAAAAAAAAAGAAGAAGAAGAAGAAATTAGCTGGGCAAAAACAGCAGGGAGTACCTGCAAAAGCCAGAGTCAATTCATTGATTTTTTTCAACAAATATTTTTTGTGGACCACCAGGATGTGCCAGGTACTTTTCCAGGCTCTGAAGACTAGCAATGAACAAAATAAAAGTTATTTTAACTCCCAAAGCGTTGGATTTCCAAATCAGATACTTCCTGCTGGTAGCCTTGGTGGTGGTTCAGGGGTAGAATTCTCGCCTGCTAAATCAGGTTCTCCAGCTTGTAGGCCTCATGCTACAGCTTGGGGTGAGTGACTCATCTGTAAAAATCAATGTTTAGCACACTTTCAAATTCATGTAGATGCTGTAGTAATACTTGTCTCAGCCAGGCGTGGCAACTCATGCCTATAATCCTAGCACTCTGGGAGGCAGAGGCAGGAGGACTGCTTGAGGCCAAGAGTTCAAGACCAACCTGACCAACATAGCAAGACCTGTCTCTTAAAAAAAAAAATTTTAAAAGAGAGAGAGAGACAAGGTCTCACTCTGTCACCCAGACTGGAGTACAGTGATGCAATCATAGCTCACTACAGCCTCCAACTCCTGGTCTCAAGCAATCCTCCTGCCTCAGCCTCCTGAGTAGCTGGGCCTACAGGTGTGCACCACCACACCTGGCTAATTGTTTTTTAATTATGTTTTTGGAGATGAAGTCAGGATATGTTGAGCGGGCTGGTCTCTAATTCCTAGCCTCAAGCGATCTTCCCGTCTATGCCCCCCTAGTAGCTGGAATTACAGGTGCAAGCCATCCTGCCCAACTCTGTACTTATAAGGAGAGGGTGTCCCACATACTTTAGCAGGAATTACTACTAAAGAACAACTTTCTTATAGACATCCTGGCTAATAATTCAGAGTTGCCACTAGGTGAACAACAGTGATATTTAGGATTTTTCAGGGCAACTGATATGAGAAATTCAATGAATTTTATAGCAACGGAGTTGCTATAAAACTGTACTGTTTTTATGCGTTTTAATGATTCCAATATTCATGCACTTAAAAAATAGCGATTTTAAGAAATTTAGTACTACTCAGTTACAAATTCATTCCTTCTTCTTTAATCCCAACTGTTTCAACTGTTACTTAGCTGGATCTTGGATTTACTATCTTGTTACCCCCATTGTTAGGACTTCCCAGAATGCATCCTCCAATCCTACCATGCTTTGGAGTCTCAGTCATTGGTCTGGCATCAGAGCTCTCAGCTCTGTTAACAGCTTCAGAAAAGAAGGAAGTTAAGTCTCCCTAAAGGGATGATTTTGATAAACCCAATAATTACCTTGCTGATAAACCAGTGGCGGATACGGGAAAAGGCAAACTATAACTTTACCTCTGACTTCCCAAAGTCAGAAATATAACTATCTATTTCAGGCCAGATATGGTGGCTTGTGCCTGTAAACCCAGCACTTTGGGAGGCTGAGGCAGGAGGATCGCTTGAGGCCAGGAGTTCAAGACCAGCCTGAGCAACATAGACCTTGTCTCTACAAAAAAATAAAAGTCTATTTTACTTCCCAGATTTATAATCATTTTATCAAGTAGTCAAGACGTTACAACAAAATGTTAAAGATGTCCAGATTCTAAGGAAATTGGCAACTCAACAAGTCTACATTGTATCACTCCATTAATCAAAAAGATTTAAAATAAAAATGTTTCAGGAATAGAAGAAATATCTCCTATATCTTGGTTAGGCTTATAACTTCACTAATTAAACAGGA